GGCCAGAGGGGGTTTAGGTGGATAGAGAGACATTTGGCTGTTTTCTTATTCGGCACCGCCACCGAGTTCAGAAAAATCTATACGTAGATATAGGAGTTACGGGCGTTGGCTTCCTCGATGCTTTAGAGCGTCTAGGGAATGTGCTTTTCTTTTTCTCTTTTGTCGAAATTGAGTGGTTTTTCTTATTAAAGTTGAAAGCGTTTTATAGGAAACAGAATGGGTTTAAATAAATGTAATGCTGAAAAATAAATAAGTGTTAATAAAATGAACAAATGTTCAGCTGAAATTAAAAAAAATAAAATAATGTATAATAATAAAGGTCTCATATATACTGCATGTGAAATAGATGATAGACGGGGACTTAGTGAAGTTATAAAATTTCTTATAAAACTCATACTAAATTAAATATTATATTATCTTGATTGAAATCAGTGATTGTTAACAATTAGTGATTGTTTACAATTACTAGTAAAAGCTCACTGATTTGCTAAGACTGCGCCAGTGAAAGTTCAACAGCTATTTTTGAAACCAACTTTTACTAGTGAATGCTAGCATTCCATGAACGATAGCAGTGAGTTTGAAAGATTCAGTTAGCGCGGTTGCCACATGTAAAATATGAGGATAAATAAGGATAAGTTGAACAATAGGCAATTTATCTTAGTCTAAGTAGGCAATATAAGGATAACATTAAATTGGGCTAAACGTTGGCAACGTTGACAGACATCTGGCGTAAATTCGCTTTATTTTTGTCTGGTTATGTATAATTGTTTTGTTCTCGTTGTAATGTGCGGTATTTTCACTATGGAAGAAATTTTCTGTGAAAAATTATGGTAAACTAGGCACTCACAAGAATGTAATAATGCTTGTTTTTCATTTTTGCAATATAATGAAGTCATAGCAAAAGTTAAGCGTGCAAGAGAAAAAGATATTGAGGAACCTAGTGACTATGAATTTTTTAAACGTTTTGATATGCTTGAAGTGGCGTGTTTGAAAAAACGAATAACTCCCGTTGAAGAAAATTCGGGCATACCTTATTTTGTCTACGATGAAGAAGTGTGAAGAATTTTATTAAAAAAGCCTTGTACCAATCAGTAATCTTATGTTTATGAACGTATTTTTAAATTGTTTTGTAGGCTTTAAAATGTTTAATATGTTTTCGCTTTTAATATTTAGAAGGTTATGTCGTTATTTTCTACCGGGCGTTTCAAAAGTGGCTCACCCCCTATAACTTTTTTATATTTTCACAGGGAATGATTATAACTTTTGATTTTTAAATGGCACCCTCGGTATTTTCTTATGTACTTCAAAATATTATAACTAAAATGATAATGTATAAACTAAAACCGTAAAATCAATATGAACAGAGATAATGGTCTAATTCTTGTTAGGTCTCTGTTCTTATTACCCTAATTCCTGTAATATATTGATTGATACCTCAATTGATTTTCTTTCGCTTTGGTGATTTTGTCACGCCTGGTCAATACCAACCGCGTGCCTATACAGGGTGTCCCAGAAATAAGTGCCAGTATTTTAATGGGTGGTAGATCTCGATAAAAGAAACATATTTTCTCTTTATCGTTATTGAAATAAGTCCAAAAAAACGCAGTTAGTTTACTTTGAAAATTAAAAAAAAAATATTTTTTGCTAGATTGCTAATTTTGAGAACCACTGGATCTTTTCTGGATTTTCTTTCATGTAAGTTTAATCTACTACCTATGTTGCCACCATATTATCAAGAGATTATGGTTTTTAAATAAAAACTAAAAAAATTTCGAAAAAATTTTTCAAAAAATTCTGAATTTTCAAATTTTTTTTTCGCGAAAAAACCTCACGGGCGTGTTTCTGGGGTTGAAATATACTACCAGTTAAAATACTTGCACTTATTTCTGTGAGACCCTGTATAAAGGCTCAACTTGTAAAGAGTAGTTGATTGAGTAACCATCTTCTGATTATGCTAGCATGGTTTGCAAAACGCGCGTCCTGGGTTAAAAATCAAGTGGTTTGGTGTATTGTTGTGAACTAATGTTATATTATATTTATGCAACTTTTGTACAGGCATATATATAATCAAAATGATTGTAGTGAAAATTTAAAACAGGGAACTTGATGTGGAGCTTTTTAGGAATATTGGTTCACTTTGTAGACTTAATAAACCTAAGCTCGCTCTCTATCTCTTTAAAATGTAAAGTGTGGACAATACGTAATACTTAAATATTTCTTCTACTTAAGTAATCATTTACTTATAAATTTCAATTAGCAGAGATATCTCTCTCAGATTTATCATCTCAAATATTAATTTGTACGAATTAAAATGGTAAATGGGAACACTAAGATATATTTCCGTGCAACGTCCACCATTTAATTCACTTAATAACTAGAATTAATAGTGGAGGAACGAGATAAAGGCACTCCCATTTTTAATGATAATCAGGCGTTTAACTTCTCCAGAGTGCAAGAAGCTTTACGTCCGCTTCCTCTTATATAGCGTCGTTTTTGCGTCATTAGTGACCCTTCCTTCTTTCGGATGTATTTACATTTTCATACGCTAAATGAAAAAAGCCTTGGAAGTAACTTCTTTGTTTAGACTGAAATAATATTTCAATTTAAAAATTGCTATTTATTTAAAGAGGCGAATTCGATATAACAATGAGAGTCATATTGTTGTTTGCTAAATGTTATTTGTTATCATATTGATAGTGATCTTAATACCTTACTTTTGACCACTTGGATAAAGCAAAAATATTAATTTTTACTAATCATGAGAACATACTATAGCTGGCTAAATTGCCAATACACATTTCTAGTAATTCTACTTCATAGTTTATGAATTATTGCCAAGTTAAGCTTTATTATTATTCTGAAAGACATTCCATCAGAAACGTAGAATGTAAAAAAGGTAAGTCTCGCAACGTAATTCTTCCGTTAAAAAATTGTGAGAACTCTTGTAAAACTAAGTCAGTTTATTTTATTTTGTATTTATTGAAGCACCTAATCAACAATTTTCTTATAAATTGCTAGCGTCAATATTAGTAATAATTATACTAATTCAATACTAGTAAAAATTATAATTAGACTTATTATTTTAGTAATAATTATAATTTGGCAATTTTAATGAACGAGAAAAGTATTATAACTTTAATCATAAGCTGATAAAGCTCAAGATTGAGTTGAAATTTTTCGAAAAATTTGCATTTTTTATTTATGTCATGCATATTTTTGTTGTAATACTGTGTAACTCGTAGGAAATCATAGTAAATTCTGAAAGAAAATGTCAAATATACAGGGTGATTCAGATTTTACTAGAGTAACTGTAAGTATCTCGATAGAACTAACCGAAATAATGATAGTTTGTATTATAAACTATACTCCAAAAACGCTTCCGCTTGGAGTAAAATGGCGCTAAAATTTGAATAATTTTTGGGTTTTTATTTGATTACTCGTAAGCCAGATGATCTAAATACGTAAGTGTTTGGTTAAATGCTAAGGGCAACGTGGCTGATATGTGTGAACAAAATTGGATTAATTGCTATACAGAGTGTTGTTTTTGTGAGTGTCAACTGCACGGATCCTTGTCGAACTTTTTTGTTGCACGCCATTGGATAAATTTGTATTTTTTTCTGATACCTTCTGTCTTTTTGCTAACTTTTCTTGTTCTTAAATTTTTTTGATATGTTGCTTAGTTTTCGAGATATTCCACAAAATTCCGGACATAGCTCAGCTGCATTCGAAAAATGTTACTTAATTAGCAGCATTAGGAGAACAAAACACAATCTAGCGTAAACTGTCTTAAGTCAAAATAAATTTCATTGTTGTTTGTGACCTTAGTTGTGAAGTTTATTGTGCAAAAGGATGCCCAGAACTTTTACTAATGCCGAATACGCCGACATGCATTATGTTTATGGTTTCTGCGACGGAAATTCTAATGCTGCCGTTGAAGAATACCGCCTACAGTTTCCGAACAGAAAAGTTCCGCACTCCCACACTTTTGTAGAAGTGCATCGTCGTTTTCGTGAACATGGATTTGGCGTTCCTAATAACCAAAATCGCATTGGTCGTCAAAGAGATAACAATAGAATTCTTCAAGTCTTCGACATTAATAGAACAATGAGTACACGTCGAGCAGCCCGACAACTCGGTGTCTTCACCGAAAAGCCTTCCATTTGCAGCCTGTCCAAGATTTGGTACCTGAAGATGCTAAAAGACGACCTAACGTTTTGTAGATGGATTTTGGAGTCTGTCGAAATAAATCCACATTTTCTGCACAAAGTTTTGTGGACAAATGAGTCGGAGTCGTGAACTGTCATAATCTCCGCGTATGGGATCACGAAAATCCTAGATGTGTTAGGCAATCTTCATTTCAGCACGAGTTCAGTGCAAATGTCACGTTATAAGTAATAATCTGTGCGAACCACATTTTCTCCCTCCTCGCTTAAATTCCAATTTGTTCCATGATTTTCTGGAAAACTTTCTTTTTGAAGTTCTTGAAGACGTTCCATTAAATTTACGTGAAGAAAATTGGATGCAATTAGACGGTGCTCCTGCACACTCTGGACGGCAAGTGCGACAGTGGCTAGACGAAAATTATCCTCGCCGATGGATAGGACGTCTACGCGACAACCGTCAAAATTTAAT